TTTCCAAAGTTATCCCCTTCCAAGTATCACTGAGTATTCCTATTTAGTGTCTAAGGCTGGATAAATGTAAGCAAATACAGGTTAGGTATTTAAGAGCTAAGATGCAAATAAACACACTGATAAGTCAGAAAACAGGAAAACTATAGATTGAGAGTATGCCTAACTACTTTTGATAAAACTGAAAATTTTCTAAATGATGTGCTTTGATTCATAATAGAACCTATATTCACCCATGTGAAATTTCTCTTGAAAAAAGACTTGAATATAAAATTATTTTATTCTCTTCAAAAAGATAACTATGAGAAATGATAGAACTCTTTTTGTTGTTGTTTTTTTTTTTTTTTTTCCCCCATTTGGAAGAAACTTATAATTATCTGTGACAATGCACTGTTCCTGGCTCTGAGCTGCATACTGACCAGCAGAGAAGAGAAATGAAATGGCACAGTCATTGCCCAGCTCTCTGGCTTGGGTTTGAAGCGCTGAACCACATCATCATATCTAGATTTGCCCTCTAAATTAACATCCGATTATCATGTTTTCTGGCAGAAAACTGTACAGATTGCAAATGGAGTTGGACTTAGAACTCCACAAGAAATTAGAGCAGTGACAGTTTAAACATTAAATACTAAACTCTGGCTTTCAGAATCCCAGTAAAACCTGAATTATTTCTAGCTTATGAGACTGAGAAAGGCAGAGAGTGAATTGGTTTTTGAGAACGAGTTTAGATGGGAATTGGAAGAAAATAGCAATGGAAACAATGGCAGTAGTCAACCACAATATATAGTAATAACTAATTATGTGTTCTCTTAACTCCCTGGCTTGGTGCACTCAAGTTGGGCAGGATTAAGCATTTTAGAGGTAAAAGCACTGAAAAGTTTACAGACTCCCCCAGACCCACCTCCTTCTTATGAGATGCAAAATAAAAGCAATAAAAACCACAAAACAAGAGAAGCAAAGACTAACAGTCATTAAATAATTTTAAGATTTATTTTTTAAACATTATTATTATTTTTGGAAGGCTTTGTTTTGTACAGAGCCCTGGTAGCACAGTGGTTAAGAGCTATGGCTGCTAACCAAAAGATCAGCAGTTTGAATCCATCAGCCACTCCTTGGAAACCCTGTGGGGCAGTTCTACTCTGTCCTATGGGGTTTTTATGAGTGGAATCAACTCCACAGAAACCGGTTTGGTTTTTTTTTTTTTTTTTTTTTTTTGGTTTGGTCTCCTTTGTACTGCTTTGCTGATACTCGAAGTACATGATTGATTTGACTAATGGATGATCCAGCATTGCACCCAAGAAATTCCAAACGTAATGTGTTACTTATTCATTACTTTAAGGGTGTCTCAAAAATCTGAGTGGCAATCACCTACCTGCCCAACTTAGGTGGACTATCCTAGCTTCCATGGCTGTTTCATGAACGGCTTTTCAAGCTAATTTAGTCAAACAAGTCAGAAATCATTGCATGTACCCCAGTGCCCAAGTCCATAAAAATACAGTTTGCCAATGCATTGTGGCACAAGAAAGCAGGCTGTTTTGAGAAAGGAAATTAATCAGAATCTCTTCCTGTGGGAAAACTCACTCAGTAGTTTCACTATGTCTTCAAGACAGATTTCAAAATCTCTAGCATGACTTACAGAACCCTCCAGGATCTGGTATCTACCAAGTTCTCCAGAATTATTTCTTGTCCTCTAATATGCCTTATTCTTTTCCACAGACTTGGTATGAGCTACGCTCTGTCTAGAACAGCAATGTTCAATAAAAATATAATGCAGCTTATGTAATTTTAAATTTTCTAATAGCTACATCAAGAAAAGTAATAAGAAACAGATAACATTAATTTTAATAATATACTTTATGTAACTCATTGTATCCAAAATATTGTCATTTCAACTTGTAATAGATATATAAAATATTAATAAGATATTAACATTCTTATTTTGTAGTAAATCTTTGAAATTCAATGTGTACTTTATACTTACAGTGCATCTTAACTAAGACTAGCTGAATTAGCCATGTGGCTAATGGCTACTATATTGGACAACACAGATTTACAAAACCATTTTCCTCCCTCCTTTTAAGATTCAGAATAATCTCACTCTCCCCTGGGAGGCCTTCCCTCATTCCTGGTCTGTGTGCCCACCCATATGCCACTCCAGTACCTTATACATACCCTCCACTATAACAGTTGTCACACCATATTGCCTGTTTGTGCTTCTTTATCTGCCAGTAGACTTGAAACTCTCTGGGTGTGGGAACCTTGCCTTACCTCATTTTATACCCCAAGCACCTAGCACAATGTTTGTCACATAAATAGTCATGAGATTTCATTTACATAAGCAGAAAAAGCATATAACTGCCCAAGTGGGAACTGGTTCAACAATAAATCTAAAATCTCTATTAAACACTTACTACCTGTAGGTCACTGTATTAGTAAAACCCATTACTGTGGAGTCAATTCCAACTCATAGCAACCCTATGGGACAGAGTAGAACTGCCCCATAGGGTTTCCAAGGAGCAGCTGGTAGATTTGAACCGCTGACCTTTTGGTTAGCAGCTATAGCACTGCACCACCAGCACTCCCTGTATTAGTAAAGTAGTAAACAGTCTCCATATCCTAGTTGTGTAAATCTGCTCTCCAAAAACAAAATTTAAAAAGAAATCTTGAAGCCAAAATTCTCACAAGTGTCTAATCTATAACAATTATGTATAAGTCAAGTTAACATGTATACTACTATAAGCCCTCTTTCAAAGGGAATTGATAAAGATTGTCCTTGTCATAGAATTAATTAAGGAATGGGTCAACATTTGTCAGGCAAAGGGAAGGCAGGGTGGTATCTCCTTCCAAGCTATGGCTAGTGAACTCAAGAGTGCTTTTTCTCAGGCATCGACTATGGAATGTAGACCAATCACACTATTCCAGCTACATGACAGGAGTCAAACTAGTGAAAAGACACTTGCCTCCCTTTCTTTACCCTAGTTAAGTATCTGGCACCAAATTATCTTTGCTGTGTATAAAATAAACAGATGTCATTTATCTATACATTTTTGATTAAAATCATAATCTGGCTTTTGTTACGGCTGCATTGCATTTTGCCCCAGTGAACGAATGCATGATGAAACTATTAATCTCTTTCTTTAATGTCATATTGTTGGGGAAAATCATAGGGTATTTTATAAAAATATACATTTTCAAACACCGAAATTACTGTTTTCCTACCTGCTTGCTCAACATGATTCTCTTCTGTAAAGATTAACTGAAATGTGGCATATTAAAAGACTTCGTAAACTGTATGGCACTATATCAATGTGAGTTATTATAATTATTGAATAGGCTATTAATTAAATACAGCAATAGTAGAAAAATTGAATTATTAATTTTCATTAGTCTTCTTAAGCGTTAAGTAATGATACCCTGGCAGATTTTAATATCACAGCTCATTTGAAAGTTGAGAAAAATGAGGAAAAGTGTTGCAATTTGCACAAGGTTTTTGATTCAGTCTTGGGTAGATTCAAAGTTAAATGGCAGCAACCACCCTTGACCTTCAGCCTAAGCATTCCATTCCTGCTGGCTTCTTTCTCCTTGACTGCCTGTGATTAACAAATCTCTCATTTAATCTTTTTCCTCCAGCTGCTAACTATTGGCCGATGCTTGATTTTGACTCCATTAGTCAGCTCTTTTATATAAGTTTTTCAAGATTGTGTTGATGTTAGTAGATTTTCTTAAAGGTTCCATATAAATCTAACCTTTATAAGTAAATATAATTTTTTTAAACCTTGGTTTGCTTATAGGCAAGATATATCCAAAGCTGATCTTCACCGAATTGAGTCTTAGCAGCTAGCACAGCCAGGCAGCAGCTGCAGTGAACAAAAACAGTGCCATTTCTGATTGATTAGCCATGGTCCCCTGGAGCAACATGTTAAGAAAGACCCTAAGGCACCATGTGGGCTCAGTGGGAAAGAGTTCCATGATCGATTAGGAATGTCTGCCGTGAGCACGTACTGGAGGCTGACAATTGAAGTGCCTCATATTTGCCATGCAGGGTCTAGGTTGATGAGCTGTAGTAGGGAGCTGGATGGTGCACATGGTTAATGCTCTCAACTGCTAACCGAAAGACTGGAGGTTTAAGTCCACCCAGAGGAGCTTTGGAAGAAAGGTCTGTCAATCTACTCCTGAAAACTGGACACTGAAAACCCTATGGAGCACAGTTCTACTGTAACACATATGGGGTGGCCACGTGTCCGAATCAATTCAATGGCAACTGGTTATTGGTTTGGTTCCTGGGGTGAAGTCTACCCATTAGTAAGCAGCTATTGCAGAGCACAAACCAGTGTAACATAAGTTGGGCCTTTATATAGAAGGAATTAGTACTGTCTGTATGTCAAGAGAACATAATATCCTGCATTAAGTACTGCTGAAATACATAATGAGTTCTTGAAAAGTAGCTCTTAAGAAATAGGGACATGTCAACAACCCAATTAGGTGGTGACTCAGCACAAGCAACAAATGAAGACTTCCAGAGCAAGTCTTACTCTATTGCTTCCCTTAAATCTAACTTGAACCCAATCTCTTCATGGATGATCCAATCCTCATGTCTGCCAAATGGATGCAAACTGAGACCAAACAGCAATACCTCCTCATCTTTCACTCTAAGAAAGAAGCAATGGGGAACAGTAAGGAAAACTCATCATCTGGCCAGATGAAACCAGGATCTGACCAAAGAAATCTTTACCCCCTCTACTTTTGAAGACAGTAGTGAACTTCAAAATGAAAACATGAATGAGAAATACACTGGCTTAACGTTTTGTTTTCCAATAAGCTGTATAAAGAGGTATGAAGGACTCACTGATATGTTAAAGGAAAAAAAAAAAACCCAAAAAACCGAATATGGTCTATTCTATCGAAGTCTTAGCTTTAGTTTTATTTTCTAATCTACAAAAGAAAAAAAAAAAGAAGATAAAGAAACCCTCCATTAAAATGAAAGTTAGCTCCAGGCTACTTACAATTGCCTTCTGTCTCTGTCTCTCCCTTTGTTTGGCCCTTTCAGACTCCCGCTTCTCATACTCTTTGCGGTATTCTTCCCTCTTCAGCCTTTCGTGCTGATATTCCTCGTAGCTGTCATACCTGGGAAACATAACTTCATCATTAAGTCAACCACCTCCATTTGCATGAGCAAAATAAATAATAATGCTAGGGGCAGGGTTTTAGACAGGGCTTTGAACTAGTTCATTCTGGTTCAAACCCCTGCTGGGAATTTGCATTTCCGCTCCAGATACACCGAATCAGAATATGTTCTAACAAGATCTCCAGGTGATTCTTATGTATAACTTCTGTAAACTTGTCAGAAATGCAAATTCTCAGCAGGAGTTTGAATCAGAATGAACCAGTTTGAAGTCCTGGTTTTAGATAACACCTTGTTATTTAAGAAAAAAAGGGGATGAAAGGAGCCAAAAGAGAATGAAGTGCATCCTTACCTGGGCCTACGGCTGAAGGGTGATCCGGAGCGTGATCTCCCACACAAGGGAGAATTTCGGTGCGTGCGGTGTCTGCAGTGGCTTGACTCATAGTAGTGGCAAGATCTGGGAGAGAGGACAAAAACAAAAAGGCATTTGCAACTGCCACTTAACCCAAGTTTATCGGCAATCCTGAGCATCCTCTAGCGTGCCATATTAGAAAAACTGGCTTTTTCTTCCTAGCGACCAGTGAGATTTCTTAGTGACAGTTTGTGATCATCTAGTCAGCTTAGAGGTCTGGGAATGATGTGTTCTCTCTCAGCGACTCTTATTGATGTTAACACTGAGCACCAGGTCTGGTACACTGTCAGCTTTATCTTGCATGGCTCTCAACTATCCAGGCACAGGGCAGCTCTCCAGGTAATGGAAAAAGTTAGATGAGCAAGTTTCTTACAAATTGCTCCCTCTGATCTGACTGGCTCAAGGCACTGTGCTCAAGGCTGACAGATTTAAGACAAGATGGTGAGTAATGCATGTGTAACAACAATCTCGTTAGTTCCAGCGGCACTCAGAATGCTGGGCTGTACATGGGGTTTGAATGCTTTCTTTTTTTTTTTTTTTTAACTTCCTGGAAAAGCCTTATGCTTTAGGTAGGTTTTGACAAGGTTTACCTTGAAGAGGATCTACTGCCTGGGGACCTAGATCTTGACCTGGAATACGGTGACCGGGAACACGACCTGTGTCGAGAAAAGGACTTTGAACGAGAGCGCATCCTTTGGGGTCTTTGAGAAAATAAGGATTTGGGTGGCGACACGGAATCCCTACATGGAGAGTTAAAAGAAGAGCAAGAAGGTGACACATCGAACAATGAATAGGATTGCATGCCATCCCAAGGGTAGCTCAGTTTATCACTTTCATCTTCGCTGTCATCAAACAGGCCATCCATGGCTAGTCCTGAATTTATAAACATAGGTAGTTTGGAGAATTGTTCATTACTGAAATCACTGTCCCTCAGTTCACTGGTCTTGTCTGCTTCATCGTCAAAAACAGCTTGACTGGGATGACCAAAGTGCTTGTTCAGCTCGGCTCGGATTTCCTGGTCTTGGAGCTGTTTTCTGGTGCTGCAAGGAGAGACTTGCTTGCTTGCCTCCAAAGTCTCTCTCAGGTAGCACTGGTCGGAGTTTGTGGAAGAACATATCTGCCCCTGCCAATCAGTGGAGGCATCTTTATATGCTAGTTGTCTAGAGTCTTGGAGCTCCTGTGATATATTAATGAGTATTTCTGATTTGGAATTAATTGACTGACAATAGTCATGGTCACCAAACAACCGCAGACTGGGCCGCTTGGTCTTCCTTTCCTCGCGTCCACTGGTGAGTACCGAGGTCTTGCTGAGCTGTGCATACAACTCAGATTGCTTGGGCCCTTTCTTGGTGGAGTAATTTCCTTGGGTACCAGAAGACTCGCTGTACCGGGCCTTCTTTGTTGGTGGTGGTACCACAGTCTTGCAAGAGGACTTCAACTTTGGAGAAGTCCTAAAAGGGTTATCTTGGTTGGCTTTATGAGGAGGAGTTGTGGGTGGAGTTAGGCCTAAGGCAGAAAAAGAAAAAAAAAAAAAAAAAAGAGGGGGTGGTGAGTAGGTTCAAGAAAAGAAATACAGATATTGTTCGTAAATGCCAGAATGTTTCCTAACTTATCCATGATTTCAGACAAGGGTTAAAACTGAGCGAAGAAGATGGAAACTAAATTCATGACGAGACCTGAAAAAGTGATGCTCCTCCCCTAAGCCTCTGTCACCAAGAAAAGATGGATCTAGAAAGCGAGGCTGCAGTGAGAGCCATGATATTTCGTGTTTCAAACAACAAGTGCTAGCAGAACCTGCTTCCCAGAAAACACTGATGCCCTACCACTGGCCTTCACGGTATAAGGCATCACCAAGGTCACGTTTTCAAGGACACTGTGTGGGCTACTTTGTGGAAAATTAACACAGCTGGACTCAGGGGAATCACAGAACAGCCTTGGTAGCATTTGTCTGAAAAGAATGTTGTTGAGGATGCAAGTAGCTCAGGGTTCTTTGAACAATCAAGAAAATATATCCTTGGAGCCAAGGAATTAGGCCCTTAAAAAAAAAACAAAAAAGTGAGATGACAGCAAATGTGAGGCATGGTGGGAATGAAATATGCAACTTCAAAGCAAGTTCAGTAAAACACAACAGACTAATACAGGGAACTAGAGCAACTCTCCAACTTGATGGCGATGATTCTTCGTCTCCACAGTTCATTAACTTAGTAAACCATGGCTAATGTAGGTATAATACATTCTTGTAGCATAACTAATACATTCTGTCGAAAATATGGTTCTGCAACAGAAACCTAAGTGAACAGTAACACTAAATATTGCAGTGCCAGCGGACCATTTTATTTAGAGCACAACATCAGCGAGGGTTATGAGGCTGAGGGTTTGAAACAAATCCAAGCTTCAGCATCCAACTAATTAAATAAAAAATAAACAAATAAAGGAAGAAGGGAGAAAATCCATCAGGCTGTTGCCTTTCTGGCTTTTCTACAGAAGGGTAGAAAATTCCATCAGAAGCCTCTGTGGGAGAGTCTTCTAAGCTTGGTTGCATTAACGTTTCACTCCTGTGTAAGTCCTACTTATCTCTTCATGCCGAGGAAGAATAATTGTGAAATGGCTCCAGAGTCCAAAGAACTTTGAATAACGGCAGGCTGGAGTTCAAATAACGTCATGCTTACAAGGGAACATTTTAGTTTACAATATACTTTCTATTTAGGAGGCTGGATGAACGCTATTCAGCAAAAAGAACTTCAAGTCCGCTAACAAGTCTGAGGTTAGACTCAAGGCAACTACACATTTCAAGGAAAGGTAGAAAAAAAAAGTATAAAGAATCAAGTAGGTCGGAGGAAACATGAAATTTTGATACGAACAGGTAGATATAGTCTCTCTCCTACTTTACAACAGGAGATGGAAGAAATTAACCTTGTCCCTAAGATGAAACATGGTATACCAGTATTTGGCAATTTTTATTATTCACAGCTAATTCTCCCCAATGGAGGAAAGAAAGGGCTCTTTGCAATTCCATCTGAGACGAGTTCAGAAAGACAGGGAGATGCAAGGACAAAGAGAAAGGGTCATTGTTCTCTCTCCAAGCCACACCTGAATTTTCCAAAAATTCTGTTATTAGTAGCCACTGTCCTTTGCCTATATTGTTCTTTCAATGAAGATATGACTTATATGGGGAGGTAACTTATATTATTGAATCAAACACCTGTATCACTGAAACACATTATCCTTTTGTTCCCTCCTCATGGATGAATATGTTTTTTACTCAAGCTAAGAAATTTCATTAATGTCTATATTTTCTTTTTTTATTCTTGTTTCCTTTATCTTTTGCATTTCTCAATTAGCCATACTGATATCTATCACATATTACCTTCAAGTACATTACAAGAAATTTAAAAGACACTGATTCCCAGCAAGGATATAGCAAGTCTTCAAATATCTCTCACAGGAGGCTAATATGCTTAAAGAAACAACGCCGTTAATCTCTCTTTGCTGACTAAATATCAGTCAAATATGCCAAATGGCATAACCCTTGAATTGGGGTAAATGACACTGAACATCTCAAAATTCAACCTCATGAATCTTTTCACAATCATCCTAATTTAGGGTAATTTTTATGTTTTTCAATAATTTACTATCAGGATCACTCACTTGATACCATGTATCACTATACAGTCTTACTTATCTCTTTTTGAAAGTTAATTATAACTTGTCTCTCTAAATAGATTATAAATTCTTAATGGGCTATCCCTTGGGTTTAATTGTTAGAAATTTTTTGAAGTATTTTTGTTTTCTAGATCCTCCTGTAGTAGTGGGTTCCACATTTCAGCAGTCCAAAAATCACTTGGGAAACTGGTTAAACATTTTTAATGGGATGGGTCACAAACCACATATAGAGGACCATTGCCCTATGGTGTCTGCATGGCATGGGGCCTTGTACTCAGGTATACGTATTTTGACTGACATTCTACATCTATAAAAAGAAAGCCTAAACTTCAGAAACACCGAATTAGGCCACTATTAAAAAGAGACTAGTTCTAAAAATAGCTCTACCATCTAGGGATTTTAAATATAGAAATTCTTTTTAGTCTTGAAAATTTGAAACCCTTGTCCTAGTACCTAAGCTCATTATTACTTAAATAACTGATTCTCAAGTTGCTCTTGGGATTGGCGACACTCTGATTGTAGTTTGAGTTAGAAACAAAGCTTTTTACCTCCTTCACATATTAGACAGCTTGTAGTAATTTAACAGATGTTTATTGAACACCTACAAGGTGCTGGATGCTATGGTAGATGCTGACATTTCAGGGAGCCCCCCACCCGGGGATTCCACAGTCCTTTATTTGAATAAAGAGGCAATTCTTTAAAATCTGAAGTAGATTTTCTTGCAATATATGTTTAAATTTCACCAAAACACTCTGAGATAACCAACTATGTCCTGTAAGTGAAAAATAGCAGGGCTGAAATTTCTGCTACCACCACTTGTTGAAACAATTAAACAACACTTGCTTAGTGGATGGAAGATATTTTAGAATTGGTGAGTAGGTGAGCAAGGGAAGATTTAGATTAACAAATTCCCAAACTTCAGTGCTTACTAAAACTGCTTTAATCAGAGAACATCTCAGAGCAAGACTGAAAAATCTCAAGGATCACAAGACTCTGTGTCACCAAGTATCCAGCTGAAATTCTATCTTCAGATACGATTGAGACTGGAAGCAAAACAAAACAAAAAAAGTATAACATACATTTTGTTTTGTTTTGTTTTAACTTAGTGTCAAACTTTTAAGAGCTGCTGATGGGAAAGGAAACCCCTTGCTGCACCTGAGCTAACTGGGTTTCTCTAACCTCACCTCCTCTGCCCAGAATTTTCTCCCCTGAGGTAGGATAGAGGTCAATATTCAATTCTTTAATGCCACTACTTTGCTCATCTTCCCACTAATTGCTGGACTCTCAATTTCATGCCACAAGCCTAAATCAACAGTGCTAATGCCTCCCATAACCTCCAGATTATTTCCTGCGTGTTGAATTTCTGGGGAATGTGTACATTTTGGTGTTGACAGTACAAGGTATATTCTGTGTTCTCTGTTAAACCTAGCATGTTTTGATAGATTTATGTGAGGACAGACGGCCATTACAGGCTGAAGGCTGACAAGAGGCAGTTCAGAGCACTGTTAACACACTTGCCCAAACTCTCAGCAGAGCGGCACTGTGCAGAATGTAATTCAGACTATAGCTTTTTTATTGCTGCCTATTTTCTTTTGTCAAAAGAGCCTGCTGTGCAGAGCAACAAATGGCTGCTATTACCCAGAATGTAATGGGTGTCAGACAAATCACGTAACACAAACAATCAAGAGTATGTAGGTCATATTTCAACAGAGCACAACCTTAGCAATATTTATGATGACTGCATTGAAATGTGCTCTATAATAAACAAGTACCTCTCCGTCACTCACCCTTCTGCACTTCTGCACAGCAAATCCGCGAGAAGTGGGACACGCTACAGTCATCTTTTTAAACAGCCATTTAAAAAAAAAAAAAAAAAACACAAGTTTTGTTTTACATGATGCGCTATAAAACAATTTCCTTTGAAGAGTTCTCTTTCGGGTTTGTTGGTTTAATTGAATGACTCTGATAAACGGTGAATGCACTGTTTTGGTTTTTGTGTCTGCGTGTGTGTTCCACTATCTGCCCAACAACTTCAGCAGGACTTTTTTCTTTTCTAAAGAGTTTATAACATTTAACAGAATCTACTGTTAACTCAGCAACTTACTTTGGAGTTTATCTAAGAGTAGGGTTTTACTTGTGTCCCATGCCCATGCAGGTATTTCTCAAGGAAAAACAATGATGAGTTTCTCATCTGCTTAAAAATGTACCAAAGGGGATGACTGGGGAAAGAGAGGTGTGTCACCTGTTCTATGCACATACTTTAGACCTCAGGGACTTGGAGTTAGTGGTTGAGCGACCGTAGGAAGTGAGGATATTTACTTTGTAGAAACTGTTACTGCTCTACCAGTTGTCAAAATATTTGATGGACAAAGGCCATAGCTCTTGGCTTTCCAGTGTCCTCCTTACCCCTCCCCCAGGATTAAGTGGAACTCCCCAAGATCCAGGAACTAAAGTGTTAACCTTGCACATCCATGGCCTCCCAGAGCCTCCTTTGGTATTATAGCTGGCATTAGTCCATTGTGACTTGGAGTGCCCTGCCTTTGTTGTTGTTATTAGCTACCCTTGGGCTGGCTCCCCATTCATGGAGACCCCATGCCCAACAGAATGTAATGTTGCCTTGGCCTGCACCATCCCCATGATCCGTTGCAGATTAGACCCATCATGCATAGGCCACTGCCTTTGCTCATAGTGACTCCATAGGGTTTTCATTGCTTGATTTCAGAAGTAGATGGCCAGGCCTTCCTTCCTCCTCTGTCTTAGTCTGGAAGCTCTGCTGAAACTTGTCCAGCATTATAGCAACACGCAAGACTCCACTGACAGACAGGTGGTAGTTGCCCATGAGG